ACAAATTCTGGATTTCACAATATTCATTATGCTGTTAAATGACTTCACTACATTTTTAATTTGGCAATTATGATTTTAATGTCATTTTTCATAAAAATATTGCCTAAAGATAAAATTATTTTCTAATACCACCAGGAAGCCAAGCAAAGTCCAGAGCAGAAATCTTTCTCCTAAATATTTTTCTACAACCAATACAACCAATTGAGCATGGATTTTGTGTTCACCCAGTTTTGGCCCATGCAATTTTAAATACAAAAGAATTTTTTAAATGTATATTTCTTTCCAATAATTTATATCCATTGTAGAAAATTTGGGAAATACTAAGAAGTGTAAAGAAAATACATTTCCAATTGCTCAAAATGATTTCTAGATAATTTTGTAGCCAACATCACCATCCCCACCAAGAAAATCGATCACTGAGAAGTCAGAGGCTACACCTGCAGTGTGGGTGGACCTTTCCCAAAGAAGAGCTCCGAAAGCCTGTTTAGCAAAGGTTGCACCGCTGAGCCTCCAACACCTAATATGACCACTGTGATTTAAGTGCTATTTGGATATCTACGTTCTGGTTAGGCAAATATTTTCATTGGTTTCATTACTTCGAGGTCATTCCTTTCTTATGATTCTTTACTATGCACAGCGCTGGAAGGGAACTGCTTGCTTTGTAGAAATGAATACCGTTGGCATCTGAATCCAATCTGTGACTAGATGGGAGTTGGAGGTTGAAATCATTTGAATACAGTGCCTCTGTGGTTCAACAAGCAGATGTGGTCTGGAATCTTGGGTTACCTTGGGCTTCGTTTAGATAATAACTTAGCATATTAATCTATTTTTCCCTTTTCATTCAGATCATTTAACAAGCTGTACAAAGGTTCTAAGCATGTTGCATTATTATGCAAAGCAGTTCACCTTATCTACATGTATAATAATGTCTGACAACTATAATATCATCCTTAAATGGCTATGCAGAGAGTGTAGCTCTGTGCCAGTGTTTCTGAGGCCGTTAAGGTACAGAGGTCTCCAAAAGTGGTGGTCACACCGCTGGAGAGGGGCAGGGCCCAGGCTTACTCCCAGGGCAGATGCCAAAAGGGTTTGACAACCACGAAGATAGGACCACTGCCTCTTTGCACTTGGGGTTTCCCCAGGCCATGACCTATTCTTGGAAAGCCGCATGCCCTCACCCATTAGCAGGAGCTGGAGTACCAGGCTCTGGTCCTCTGGTAACTGACTTTAGCTGCAGAACCTGGTCCCCAAGCTGAGGAGTTGGCCAAACGCCCACCCCCTGGGGAGGAGGCCATGCATTTTAAAAATCTGTCAAAGTGAGCTTTTATACCAGCTGTCAGGCTTATCCATCTTCGGTAATAACTTCCTGTCAAGTAACAGGATCCTCCAAGGATGGAAAGAATCTTTCCAGCTAGCTTGTACAGCTAGGAGCTGTGCTATGAGAAATCCACATGGAGGTTAAGGCAAATAAAGATTACTCTTTCAAAAAAGACCACTCTAGTTATTCAAGGTCTGACATTTCTCTGTATAGGATCCAAAGAAAGGACACGCTATAGAAGGTGTGTGTCGTCAGTAATGTGAGCACAAGGGGGTGGGAGCAGGTGATTTTTCCAAAGGTTTCAAGTAGACTAGAACAGTAGCCAAAGTGTAGGCCTCAAACCACCTACATCAGAATCTCCAAGAAGCATGTTAAAAATGCAGATGCCTGTCCTTTGCCCCCCTTCAAATTGGAATTGGTGATTGAAAAACTGCATAAAAGAACATTTTTGAGTGGTTGGAACTATAAGCCCTCTAGATCTGAGTGAGCTGTATTTAGAAGAGCAATGACCAGTGTCCTCAGGGCAGTGGGAATAGCTTTTGTTGAGAAGAGGGCATTAGGGACTGTTTGCACTGCCCCCAAATTCATGTTAACATCTAATCCACAATGTGATAGCATTCGGAGGTGGGGCCTTTGGGAGGGAGTTAGGTGAGGAGGATGGTGCCCTCACAAATGGAACTACGGCCCTGATGAGCTAGCAGGCTCTCTGCCATTTGAGGAGACAACATAGTGGGTCAGGTGTCCGCATCCCGGAAGAGGGCTCTCATCAGAACCTGACCACACTGGCATCCTGATCTGGGACCTCCAGTCTCCACAACTGAGAAATCAATCTCTGTTGTGTATGAGCCATTTGGTTTATGGTGTTTTTTTGTCTGTTTGTTTTTTTTTATGGCAGCTCAAGCTAAGATAGGGGGCAGAGGTGTTCTGAACACTGGTTGGCCTATTCAACTTTTGCCCACTACGCAATGACTCTTGTGTTGTCAGCTCAGGCTAAGAGATATGAGGAACTTGGAGGATGTTCTACCGCCCCCCGCCCCCCTCCACCGCCCCTTCGCCAAGGAGAAAACAAAAATGTTTTCTCCTCAAGGGAGGATTTTTTGGGGGATGTGAGTTTGTCGACTACTTGAGGTAAGAATGTAAGTTGAGTATGGTGCTCGGTATAGCTAAGTATGGCTCTGGGGCCTGGGCTTCTAATGAAAGATGGGTCACATATTTAGAATGAGGAGTTTCTTGGAACACATGTCCTCGCATACTTGAAGAGTCTACGTTCTAAGGAGTGGGGTTGGATTGGCGCTGACCCTGCCGGTAGGGGCCACGCTGAGGGTCTCAGGGTGCCAGACCTCTGCAGTTGGGCTCTCTGAGGAAGCCCGTGGCTGGTGGAGGCACCAAAGTTCCAACAAATGAGGAAAAATGTCAAGTAGATTATGTGACACAAATCGGCCCGACCGGCATTGATGAGTGCTGTGTAGCATGTCCTACGAAGTTGGTCAAGTGCTCTATCCCAGATAATCCTCACACAAGCCTGGGAATCGCCAAGATGGGGAGCAGCCCCGTTTGCCCGCAAGCAAACCCGCTCAGAGGAGCTGGCTGGTTCGCTTGAAGTCACAGGGTTAATAAGGATAACCGGGCCCTCCCACCACACTTGGCTTTGGCAGCAGCTCCCAAGTCTGGAAGGATACTGCTTCATGGGAGAGCAGACAGCAGCCCCGCAAGGTGTCAGACAGACCTGAAACGACTGTATTAATTACACGAGTGGTAATTACACGAATTACACGCCTATGGCGGAGTTCTAGTGAGAAAGTGCCCAAGACCAGGCCTGGATTTACCAAAATGTTTTATTTTAAAAGAATACTTTCAAGCGTTTCTAGGCTCTCACAGTTCCAAACTTTGGTCTTAAAATTAATGTGGCATTCTGATATCATGTGGCAGAAATGGTAGAGAAGTAGTTTATAAACCACTTCACATATAGAAACCAAAGACAAAATTGTACTGGCACCGAAAATACTTTGTTTGAAATGTCAGAGTTTCAGTAGACCTAAAGATTCTAATTATAATTTAAGACTATAATTTGTGATGCACTTTGGGAGAAAACATGGCCAGTTTTAGCTCCCTAGAAACATGATTTAATAGCATCTGGCACTCGTCACGTGTGAGGGCTTGGTAGTTCAGGGCCGTAACTCAGCAGGGCTGTTTCTGAAAAATGAAGGCACATTGAATGCAAACAAATGAGCAGAGTCACACAACTATAAAATGACTGCCCTTTATTGTCCTTTGCCGTCTGTGCAGAGGCAAGGGAATGGAAACTCAAGATCTGTCCGGGAAATCTCGGACATGCAGGAAGGTGATGGCAGAAGGGCCACCTGGACAGAGCATCGGCCGTCCACACTCCAAACCACACAGGGACCCTGCCTGGACTGCCTTACCCACCGTCAACAGGCTCACACTGTGGCTATCAATCTACCCTCCACCGGTCCACCTGGTGCCAGAAGTCCAGGGATGCTGGAACTTTTATAAATATGAATCCTGATCGGCCCCAGGACTTCCCATGGTGGTGTGGGACATGATTGAAAATGATGGTCAATTTTAACTATAAGCCTTAGAGAAGTTCCTGAAGCCAAAATGTCTATCTGTATTGTGTCCTTTAATTGCTTGTTTCTTCCTTAATTGCTATGTGTAAACCCAAGTCTTTCAGCTATCCAGACACCCATTTCATTATGTGGAGGGATTCTAACATCAGGTCAAAATGGAACACACAACAGTGAGACCTGAAAAAGTCAGAAGGACTTATAATTTCCAGGGATAAGGTATAGAATAGATGTGCTTTGTCTAAAGTAATGATCCACTTCACTCACCTGGATATATATTCTTATGGAACTGGGTACCCCAACTCCAGGTACCAGACCCAAACGTCTAATTTATATCAAAGGCAACAAAGAGATACAATGAACTCACAGAGAACAGGAATGGTAGGTTAAGTGCAAGCTCTCACCAAATCGCTTCTTTCTCCTGGAAGCCCCCCTGGGCTGATGTTGGAAGGGTGTGGCGCCAAAGCCAGCTCTCTGGGTTTGCAACCCTCTCCGACCACGTACCAGCCATTTGTGCATTTACTTTGTGCCCCATTTTCTCCATCTATTTAAGGGGGATGAGAGCAGGACCACCTCAGGGGGTTGTGATGAGGAATGAGTGAGGGCGCTGTGTCTGCGAGTCTGGCATAGACGGGGCGCTGAACACACATGCGCTGTCATTAGCTGTGCCGTAAGGGCACAACTCCTCTGTGATGTGACTGTTCGCAGTGCCTGGCACGTTGCGACTGTTCGAGATCTGCTTACCAACTGAGAGAATGAAAGTAAGACACGGGTGGAGAGAGAAAAGCTGGTGCTGAGCAGCGTGGCTGACCAAAGTTTGGTACAACATTTTTTAATGAATAATTTCCAAAGAGTAAAGTTATGACCAAGCTTGAGATTCTGCTTTCTCTTGGAGTTTCACTAATTAAAATTTATTATTTCAGCATACAAAATACGTGGTGGTAGAAAAAGAAAACAGGCAAATAATAAATTTGTTAAACTCCTCTCTAAAAATTGTTTCCCCATAGGCACTGAGTGTCCAGTAAATGCTAGAGCAATTACTCTCCCAGATCGGACTCTGAGTTTCCCCAAAGATAAATACACACATAGTCTTGTCATAATACTTTTTTTTTTTTATTACAATATCCAAAAAACTGAGTATGCAAGTTTAGGAGGTCTCAAGACCCCTTCTTCAGTTGTAGGAATGTGCCATCTCAAGACTGTATATTTAAACTATAAAGAAGTTCAAATGTAAAGAAAAAAGAAAATGCAATTTCTTCATAAACATTCTGTGTCTCTTACTACCAATCACATATTCTCTTGTAAACCCTGAAAAATTCCCTGTAAAGCAAATAATATATATATATTATATATATATATATATGGTGTGTGTGTGTGTGCGTGTAAAGTGTACAGTAGCTCCCCTTCCCCAAAGATCAGCTGTTTTCCTTAATCATCTGTATTAGTGTCAACAAATGGCTACGGATACATATTATTTTGAGAATTAAATACATAATTGTGAAATTTAAACAAGCCGAAGGGCGAGAGGAAAAAGCACTATGCGGATGGCACATCTGGGGGATAAACGACCACAACATCTGTCTTTTTGAGTCACGGGTCTCGCTTCTGCAGACGGACTTTCAAGGAAATTCTCTTATTGCAAGCATAGCCCCGAAGGCACTGGACTTCCCTCACTACTCTCGTATCTCGTGGTTCCGGTATTGCTACCAGCAGCCGTGCCCACTCCCTGGACGGTCTGGAAGCCACGCAAGGGCAAAGGGCACGGAGTCGCGGCTGCCGGGCCCAGGGCCACGGACGTCTGCAGGAGCGCCCGGCCCCGGCTTTCCGTAGTTCGCTTAATTAACGGCAGCTTCGGTGCGTTCCAGCTGTGCCCGCCGTCTGTCTAACGAGGGGTCTGTTAGCACGACAACCTGAACAGACTGAGGCTGTTTTCAGTTGAGCAGGAGTAACGTGATCGAACATCGCCCTCTTCCACCTCCCGTTCTGGAAACCTGGCCGGGAGGAGCGCAGGCCGGAAAGTGGGTGTCAGGGCCCGGCCTGGCAAGGGGAGGCGAGTGGAAAAACGAACCGACCTGCACGCAAAGGTAAACGAGGCAAAGGAAGCCAAGAACCGATGAACCACCGGCCCGAGCGGAGCCCGCCGCCCGAGGGCCCGCGAGCGCGGCTTCGTCCTGGGGCAGATCCGCCGGGCGCTGGGGACGCGGGTGCGGCACCGAGGGCCTGGAGGTGGCAGGGGCTGCGGGCGGGGCCGTCACTGCAGCGCTCGGACGAGGTAGAGCTTCTCCCCGTGCTCACTGGTGAAGATAGGTGCCTTTTTGTAGTGTTCCACCAACTCGTCCATGGTGTGAAACCGCCGCTGCCCGATGCAGTAGACATTGTCCACGAGCTGCACCTTGAAATGTTTGTTCTTCCCTGATGCTTTCAGCGACACGGAGAAATCACTGGGCTGGGGAGGAAACGAACACGAGTCAGGCGGGGCCACGCGCAGGAGACGCGGGGGGAGCGCGCGCGCGCACGCACGCACGGACGCACGCACGCACGCACGCACGGACGCACGCCAGCCAGCCAGCCCGCCCGGCGCGGTAGTACCCAGCGCGGCACCTGAGGCTCCCAGCCACCCAGGGGCCGTCCGAGGTTCGCGCGCTCTGAATCCAAGAAAAGCTGCATTTTGCTTAGTACAGCTTCCATGCCAAACATATTTTAGTTACTCGAAAACTGGGGACCCCATACATAGCACATGGGGTACCAGTGTTACCCTGATGCTGAAGAAACTTAAATTTTTTTATTTGCCAACCTATTTCTGATAAACTGGGAATTTTTAAAAAGTGGTTTGCATATAGGCAGCAGCTAGAAATCTCCCTTCCTCGGACTATTAGAAATGAAGCCATCAAAAATTTTTCTAATTCTAAGCTATTTAAAAATAAATACTTTAAGAGCAGTTGAAAACTCTTGGCTGCATTTTAAACATGGTTTGTAAATCCCAGGGGGATGGCTGTACTATGGTTGAAGCGCAGATTTTATTGAGAAGTGTCTGAATTTGTGACTTATATGTGAATCAATTTTAGAAAGATACCATTATTGTTATTAACATTGGTCCTGCCTCTTATGAGACACTGACTAGCCAGTGCAGTTGATGGGGAAATAGGAGACTGGCCCCTACTTTTCCACCCCGAAGAAGCCTCCCCATTCTCTCTCAATCAAGATAAGTTCTTCCCCTCCTTTGCTTGCCATACAGCAGAAAGCTGACAGTTTCCAGTGACAGGAGCAGAGTGTATCCCAGTAACTGCACTGTAATAAACAATTTACACGTATGTCCTATCCCTTCACTATGCATTAGGCCAGGTGGATCACGTCTTCTCCACTGCTGTATTCCAGAGAGCCGTACAGATGGTGGGAGCCTACTACAGTTCTTAACGGAATTCCTAAAGCTGGGTTCAGTGCTTCTCAAAACCCAGCAACTTCCTGCTGCTGAGGACCACCCAGCTTTGTGCCCTTCCCACGGGGACAAAATTAACAAGCACCTCAGCCACTGTCTTTTACACGGAGCTTACAAACCTTTGGTCCAAAGTGTGCAAATCTTGCAAAACAAGTGAAAATCCCATGAACCAATGACATCCCAGGGAAATGGGTATCCAAGGGCATTCAACACTGCAAAAGCACTGTGGGGCTCACCTACCAGTCACAGCTGCTACTGTGCAAGAATCGAGAGACAACTGTATTCACAGTTTGTATTTATGGATCCCTCTACCCCAAACAGACCAAAGGGAAACAAACCTTTGAGAGAAAAGCCCCTTCTTATCTCCGTGCTAACCCCGGGACTTGATGCCCCGGAGGAGACCCAGGAAGTCCTGGTAGGCTGGACCTTCAGGAAGACACAGAAAGACTGATCTCTGATTCAACCTCACGCTACATAGGATTTTCAGAATCATGGCCATGAGAGGGTCTAGGGGGTGGGGAGGAGGACACAGAACTTGGAAATTATTTCCTCCACTAGACCTCTTAGAAATGAATCATGACAAACCCTGATGTCACAGATGATCCTGGCAACCCGCCCTGTCAACACAATATTCTAAATGGCACAAAACATCATTCTAAGTCATTCTAATCAATTCTCAAATCATGACTGTTTTCATGGGACTGAATAAGATGGATGCAAGCTAGCCTCAGTGTCCTCCATATTATTTTCCAAGTTGGTTGCTGTGTATGGCTCTGAAAAAAGAACCAAGTGCAACAGGTACTGCCTGACATGTCCTCCACGTGGGAGCAAGGCCTGGAGCACCGGCATCGCGGTCTCTGTCACAACAGTTATTAGTCCTAGTGCATCAGGACACCGCATCCCTACGCAGCAGTACATACAGCTTATGAACCACTCACCCCTCTCCTGAGGGCTTCAAGTCTTCCTTAAAGCAATGTTTAGTTTCAAGCTTCTATTACATTATATATCTATACATATATGTATATATGTATGTATATATGTATGTATGTGTGTATATATATATATATATATTCTGTGCCAGAAGTTTGTGCCTTTAGATGAAGACGGAAGGCAATCTCACTTTTATAGTTTAGCACAAGCCAGGCACTGTGCTAGTTTTACAGATCCTTTAATCAATTCACAGATGAAGCAGCATCGAAGTTGAGGTAGTATGTGAGTCAGGGTAAGTACATGATAGACCCAATTTTAATTAAGCCAAATGATCAACAGATGACTTACTGAACAGGGAAATGTGCTTTTAATTTAAGCTCCTTAATTTAACACCATGGCGTGCCACGTGTATTTGTGTGTTACAGCAGTAGGGCCGATGCAGCGGAGAAGGTACTTTTTAATTTCATGGGCTCTTGAGCAGAAACCTTCAAAGTTAAGGACATAGAACGAACCCAGTTGATGTCAAGCAGGAATGCTGAACACTTGGGGGAATTCTCGGTTCATCCCAAGCGGATTTTCAATCGACATCACTAACTAGCGCCGAAGGAAGCCTGAAGATGAGCTAGACCAGTGGTTCTCAAGGTGTGTTCCCAAGACCAGTACCAACAGCAGCATCACCCGGGAACTTGTCAGAAAAAGCAAATTCCCAGGCCTCGCCCCAGACCTGCTGAATCAAACTCAAGGGTGGGGCCCAGCCATCTGTGTTTTAACCCCGGCCATCTGTATCTCTGTGAGCCATCCACGGGATGCTGATACAGTTTGAATACAGAAATGCAATCTGCGCCAACCACCAGCAGTGTTTTCAAATGTTCAGAGCCATGGGAAAAAGATACGAACATGCCTGATGAGTAGCCCCTCACAGCAGGGAGATCTGTGGCCAACCTCACCCCCAGGCTGCGGATGCCCTTCTGATTCTGTCCTAAGGAGTCCGGCCCCGCTTGACATTCCTGTGCGGAACTGCCTCAATGAAACAGCTGGGATGCTGTGGACAGAATCTCTTTTCCTTAAATTGGGCCAGTTCCCTGGATCTGACAGCGATGGAATGGTTCCACACCCAAAATAACCCTGCCTCCAGAGAAAGAGCACGAGGCGGGGGAAGACCCCTGGGGAGGCGGTGCCACCAGCCTTGTCCACACCTTGTCCATTTTCTGGAATGACTTCGGGGAGTCGGATGAAAAAAACCACGCCACGCTCCCCTCTACTGGCAGCGGTGGCCGATACTGTGCCTCCGCACTCCACCTTGAAGCTAGCCGGTCAAAGGACCTTGACAGGGTTTTGTGTGAATACTTACGTTGAGAAAGAGGACCCCGACAGACTCCAGCCCCGCCTTCTCTCTCCACACAGGTTTTTGTTTGGGGGTGTTACTGATCTGAAGACACAGGCCCATATGAGGTAACTAATAAGCTTTCCACGCTGGGGCCCAGGGCTGAAGCCTGTTGAGTGTCCCTCACTGGGAGGCCAATGTGCCACAGGGATTCTGAGGTGGAAAGTGTGCTGGACTGGGGAACTCCTCACGGTTGGTGGGGGTCCAAGCCAGTACTACTGTTTTTGCATCATGGAGAAGATGAAAACAGGCATTCTTAAGAACTCCGCAATCTCATGGCAGGAATGTACTCTAGAGAAGTGCTCTAGAGAAGCATGCACATGTGTCCCAGAGTACAGGTTTAGGAATGTCCAAGCAGGATTATTGATATGATTTGCACACTCTTCACGTCCACCAATAGGAAAATGGATAAAAAGATGAGGTATATACTTCATCAAACAATGACACAGATGCATCAACATGGACTAAATAAATCTCACAGAGTATGGACCAAAAGAAGGAAGAATAGCTACAGTAGGATGATACCGTCTATAGAATTCAAAAGCAAGCAAAGCTAAAATGTACTGTTTAGGGATACACACATAACAATCAAGAAAATGATTATCATAAAATTAAAGGTAGCAGTTACCTCTAGTGGGAGGGGTGGTGCAATCAGGAGGCTAATCTGGGGGTGGGCAGTAGCTTCTAGAGTACCAGCAATGTCCTGTTTCCTAAGCTTGACCTGGGTTAGTAATATACTTAAAAGACATTTCCTGTGTGTTATGTGTTCCAATAAAGAATGTTTTGGTTTTTTTTTAAAGATTTTATTTATTTATTTGAGAGAGAGAATGAGAGACAGCACAAGAGGGAAGAGGGTCAGAGGGAGAAGCAGACCCCCCGCTGAGCAGGGAGCCCGATGCGGGACTCGATCCCGGGACTCCAGAATCATGACCTGAGCCGAAGGCAGTCGCTTAACCGACTGAGCCACCCAGGCGCCCAATAAAGAATGTTTTAAAGGTGCTAAATTGGAAGCAGGGAGACCTGTCTTGGCTATCCACTAGTCAGGTGGCACTGGTACTTATCGCTTCAAATACCGCCTCCACCCTCTTGCCGACCTCTCCCCCCTCCCCATCCATTCTTTTGGGACACCAATTACATGCATGTTAAATTTCTCACCTGGGTCCTGTAAATCTCAGTTCAGCCTACCATAACCGCATACCATAAACTGGGTGGTTTAAAGACAAATTTACTTCTCCCAGTTTTGGAGGTGGGGAAGTCCAGATCAAGTAGCTGGCAGGTTTGGTATCTGATGAGGGGCTGCTTCCTGCTTCACAATCCTCTCATGGTGTCTTCGGAAGGCGGAAGGGCAAGAGAGCTCTCTAGGGCCTCTTTGATGATAGCACTAATCCCATTCATGAGGGCCCCACCAACCTAATACAATCACATTGTCCCCAGTAGGGCCTCAGCATGTGACTTTGGCAGTGGTGAGGCGAGACACACATTCAGTCCATGGCAAAATCTCTTGTTGCTCTTTCTGTATTTTCTGTCCTTTTTGTGTGTGTATCCTAAAATCTCTAATTCCTCCCATTTACTAATCCTTTCTTTGGCTGTGTTTAATCTACGGTAAACTCACCAAGTTCTTAATTTCAGTTATTGTATTTTTCAGTCTTATAATTCTCACTTTTGTTCCTTTTTATTGCTTCTAATTTTCTACTCA